TATTGCTCCCATTGTTGGTTAAGTGCATGATATTGCGTCTGCTTGGTTACTTGTTTGTTTAATTGTTTATTGTTGTTAGTGACAAGGCAGCATCATATTGCTCTTTGTATATGTATATTGAAGCTCTATTTCATTCTTAGATTTGGATTTCCTCGTGAAATTGCACAAATTGTAAAAAATGACTGGAAAAATGATTACATTATTTTGTTTGTTAGCATTTGTTTCCACATGCACACATTAGTATTTTTGTTTTCCATATTCGAAATGAAATAAATTATAAATATATGTACGTTTATATGTATAATATTTCTAAACTACGCTACACAAGTTAAACATGAAAAGATGTATTGCTTTACTTTTTTAAGATTTTTCTTCAAACACGGTTTCCAGTGAAAATCAAAGAGTTCCAAACGCTAATTTATATTGATATGTTACGATTGCGAAAAAACATCTGTCTTCCCAGTGTTGTGCATTACTTTAGTATAACATAAATTTTGCTAAATTACGGTCAATAAATTTGCTTGATATGACGGACAAGGTGAAGGTATGAATCATATAGGGTTGTTGGGAATTTTGTGTGGACTAGCAGCGCAAGGGAACATTGTCTTGTATCGACTTGTGATGGAGAATCGTGCACGTGCTTGAAATGTTATCTTGATTAAAGCCTCAATTCATTCGTTACACTTTGAAGGTAACTAATGGTAAATAGCGGTATTCTAATATATTTGGTGATAGGATAGTTATCCAATTTTATGTTGCTCTATACGTGTCTGCTGTTATTTATGGTGGGATAGAAACTTGAAGTTAAGCAGTGACGAATTCGTTGCAGGTACATGCGTTAGATATATGTATTAAATGATGAGGATGGACTTCACCGGCTTCTTTCAAGATATTGGGAATACCGAATTTCTGAGTCCTGTCAGTGTATTAAAGAAGGTAGGTGTTGAGCAGCGTGCGCAATCTATACTCCACCTTGTAAGTTGTGTTCCTGTGTTCTAGGGCAGCATACTGCATATGCACTTAGGTATAGGTGTTCTTGGGCTTCAGCTTCGTATTGGAATGTAGTTTGAGTGGTACTAATGAAGTAATCAGAAAATTATAGATTAAGTATGTGATTACCATTCGATATTCATAATGATAGCGGAACTGGTAGTTTTGATACTAGAACAATAGCGATAAGGCTATTTACGCATTTCCTGCAGAATATTATCTTTTTATTCAGTAGTGAAACAAATGCTTCGGTTAGAGTGTTGTCGATTGGATGTATTAGATTTGAGATTTTTCTTTTACCTTGGAAATATGTGTTTATCATTGAAACTATTAAGAAAACTAAGATTGTCTGTGAAGATTATAGCATTAGAATTAATTTTGTGACGTTATAATTCATCGTAGTATTGTTGAGTATATACTAGGAAAGCTACTTGCTGAAGATTATTTCTTGTATGAATTTAACAAATTTAAATGGCGATGATACTGATGACGTGATAGCACGTCTTATTGACAAAGCTGTACTAGCATATCCTGAGGTTTGTGTTCAACAGAAAGAATTGCTTTTTAAATTACATGCTAAATTTTTAAATTATAGAATTACATGCTTCTCTGAAAGCTTGTTCTGTTGATATAGCAGTGTATTTTGGTATCTTGTTGTTAAAAAGATTAATTGTTAGTGAATTGAAGAGATTAATTGCTATGGGTCAAGAGTTCAAAAATTTGCAGTTCTGAATTTGAAAAGTTCACCTCAAATTTTCTGTTAATTCAGTAAAATCGTCTAGGTAGACGGAAGCAAGTTGTACAGCTGTTTGTGTTTATCCTGCCAGAATTGTTGCAGCTAAACGTTATTTACTTTCGAGACATCATCCATTACTGTTATCTTCTGGTATTCACTACTCTATCACAACCCTTTTCACCGTACTTATTTGATATGAATTTTTAAATTCATATACATATGCGCTCTTCATACCATAATGAAACAGATGCACGTTATCGTAATAAACCATTTAGCATATCAGTGTGAGATGTAAAGCTCTTTACAGACTCTAGATAGTTTCCTTGATTTGCTTGTTTCTAGTCTACTTTTCTATTCATTTTGTTTTATAGTATCAGTGGGTTTCCCTTCTGGACAATATCGCATCGAATCTTAGTTACTGGAAACAAAATTAGTAGTGGAAGATGGAGCTGACGAGTCTGATATTGTGATCAGTCGTGATGCCGCATTGCAACAAGACTGGACACGTATGTCTAAATTATCATTATTGGAGAGAACGACCACTAGCAGATGACTACTAGCTTATTTCAAGCTTTGTTCATTTTGATGGTCTCTGATTTTGAGTTGGCTTCAACAGTAATCGTCTAGGTATTTGTAAGGAAGTTTCTACTCTAAAATGCGTTTGTGGTTCAAAATGCATGAAAACGATTCTAGCAATTGGTGAATTACGAAATGAGCTGAACATTTATCGTGCTAGTTGGGCTGTAATGCTTGCAGGTTGTTTTTTACTACTGGAAAATTTCTTTTCAGTTTTTTATAGATGCTAGAGGTTTGTGAAGTTTATCAGAATGAAGCAACTTTTCATGAATTTCCTCTTTTTTAAACTTGTGGAAGTATTAAATTTTCTCTCTGCTTGTGGATAGAATAATAATCAATATTTAGCAGGTGTGTTATGGCTTGCTTATAATGTTCTGTGCGTTACTGCTTACGTATGATGTTCTGACACTTCCAAGTCTATTTTAGTTTTTTTCTTAATAATAAAAAACTTAATGATTTTCTTGTTATTGAGAAGCGAAAAACATATATTTGATTGCATATATTTTTTTCAGGTAGTGACTTTATTAAAACATCAACAGGAAACGAAACAGTTAATGCTACGGTGCAAGCTGTTTATATCATCTGTCATGCTATTAAACAGTTTTATTGTAGAACAGGTCAAGCAAACTCATTCAGTTTACCTGTAACATATCAGAAACATTTTATTTGTGCTAATGCATCATAAAGGCTGTATTTAAAACTCTTCGTATGCAGTAAGCTTTACGTATGAAGTAGTTGTCAAGTACCGCTTGTTTGAGCTTTTCTTACATAATTAATAAATTAACATGTGTGATTTCATTTTGTGAGTTTTCTGCAATTTAGTGATATGAATGAAAAAATAGTATTGAAGTTCCTAATTCCTGAATGCATAGCAGTATTTCCAGGAAAAATGGTCGGTTTTAAGGCATCAGGTGGTATTAGAACAACACATGAAGCTGTGAAATATCTATCAATAGTTGAAGAAATCCTTGGCACAAACTGGCTCAAACCAAGCTTATTCCGCATTGGTGCTAGTACTTTATTAGATAATGTCGTAAGAACACTCAACTGTAGTTATTGAACTTCAAAATAATCGTTCAATTAAACCAACATCGCTTTCTATTTTTCTATTTTATCAGTTATATTTCCAACTGTACCACACGAATATGTGCTTGCTTATCTTTTGCTGTGAAGCTGAACAGAAATCATACTGCTCATATTGTGTGTATCGAATAAAATCAATAAACTTGTATAGATTTGGAGTAGTGAAGTTGCTAGTGCATATAAACTATGTATTTTTAGTTTTTCTCTGCTAAATAAAATTTTAACATTCATTCACTGTAACGTTTTAAAAGTTTGTGAACTTTTTTAAGCCTTATTTTAGAAACATGCTTTCAAATGCAAATTTGACGAATTCTGCTGGTCAATCTCTAAAAAAATTATGTTCTATTTTTCAAACGTAGTATTGGTTGTTGGAAAACAAAATTAGTCTCCATGTTCTGGAAGTAATGAACATGAAGTGTAGCGCTTCGAATTTTTGAGATCTTTATATTCAGATCCGTTTGATTAAGATAGATTACATTGTTTCTGCACATCAGTAAAAGTTCTTAAATATGCATAGTTCTCTCGATTTATTACGCTAACCAATTCTGTTCTGATTTCAGTGAGACGAAATAGCATTTCTGTTCAGAGAGATGTCTACGTGTTCTTATGTGATAGTTGGTGGCGGTGTCGCCGCAGTGTCTTGCGCTGAAGAATTGCGTGCTGTGGATGACAGGGCTAGGATTATCGTCGTTTCGAATAGTCACCTTGTCAAGACAGCTATTGCTCAGCAAAAGGCATCTGATATACTGCGACATAGATTGTAGCATTTGTAATTCGTATTTTTCATCTACAAAGAAATGCTCTATTTTCTTTGAGTTTCCTAGAAAAAAACTTCCTGATTTTCCAGCAGTTTCTTTTTTTTTAATTTAATTTTTTATTTGATTACTTTTTTGTGGTATTTTAAGATTGGTCAATTGACGGAAGTATTACATATTTCTGAAAAGTCAGTGGTAGATGCATTTAGCGGTGTCGATGTTACGTTTGTTAAAGGAACTGTTATCCAGTGGAACTGGAAAAGCAAAGTAAATCGTAATATTTATTTTTCATTCCTTGAGGATTACTCGTCAATTTACTTTCATAGTTATTTTCTTCTTTAAAAATAAATTCCCAAATTATTCTTTTCTCAGTTATTGAGAATTATTGCAATACAGGTCTTTCACTCTTCTGAGAGTACATAAATATTAGTTTTTAGGAACTTGTACTGGATAAGAATCGGAAAATTACATATCATAAACTTTGTATAGCAACTGGAGGTCGACCAAAAGTAAATATTTCACGCTTTTTTAATATACAAGGTCAAACTGAAGAATCTTGAATTATTTCTATAAATTACTGTAAAATTATTTCAAGGTTAACTTTCAACATCATCTTTCTATTTCAATTCGTGATATGGAAACTGTGGATCATTTAAGAACACGAATAAAGGATGCAAGACGTGTTCTTGTGATCGGAAATGGTGGGATCGCCACAGAAATTGTGTAATAATTACTAAACAATTCATTTCTGAATATTCTGAAAAATGTAAATGCATTATCACATCAGGACACATCGAATTTTTCTTTACAGTATCACTTGCATTTTAAAGCTTAAGTTATGTTTTTCAGACTTGGGAGAATTCAATATAGTTATTAAAAGTTATATGTTTCAACGATTAAAAAACTATATATATAGACTCTCTGTGTTGCATCATTAAATTACATCATTTTATATTTATATTATGCTGAGAAAAACTGAGTTTTTGATTGTATTTAAATTAATAGTTAATTGTTGTCATAAGTAAAGCATCATTTTGTAGAAATTCATTCTGCAGGTATGAACTTCAAAATATCGAAATTGTTTGGGCTATACGACATTCTTCAATTTCGGCAACATTTTTCGATGAAGGTGCTGCGGAATTTTTCAAGCCGCTGCTTGTTGATGGTTCTAAAAAAGTGAGGATAAATAAAGGACCAACGAAAAGGTATCGACTGACTATGAGCAGTGACCAAGAAAGCGATGTTATGGGTTGCGCTCTCGGTCCTGAATGGGCATCGGGAATAGACATTTCTGGAGCTCTCAATGTATGTTTTATCATATTTCATTGTATCAGTATCTTAGCATTTATTTTCTTTTTTTTGCTTGATTGTTTAATCATCTCAGGTGTTATTTCACTGATATCAGTGAATATCTCCATAATCAGTGCTTGATTCTTTATTCACTAGAGCACTAATTCCCAGTAACTTTTTATTATTTTTCGATATTGCTCTAAGCAAAAAGATAGCAATATGGAATTAATGTGATAGAATTCGTTGTATTCTTTTTTCTGTCTCGTCATAGCATAACTATGCTTCCCACTGTTGTTGGAGCATTATTTTTAGGCTCGGCGTGTACATGTTATTTATGATGTAGAATTAAAAGGACTAGCTTGTGAAGATTCTGTAGGTTGTTTCATTCCTCATAAGAACGGGATTGATTTTTCAATTGGTGTCTGGCCATTGTATGCAGAGCTAACTAATGGACAAGTAATTGGATGCGACTTCATAATTGAAGCTACTGGAGTACAACCAAATTCATTTCTTTGGGCTCGTGACTGTCAAATGGTGAATAATACTTGAGTTTTTTTTGGCCCAATACTGTTCGTTGTATGTTTCAAGTTCATCAAGTTTGTTTTATCAATTAAGCTTTTTCTTAATTGAAACTGCGATCTATTGATTACCAGTGCTTGATTCTATATTGGTTGTTAAGGTAATATTACTGCTCACTAACAAAATATTTAAGTTGAATTTGGCAAAAGATGGAGGAATATTAGTAAATGAACGCATGTTGTCGTCAGTTCCAGATGTGTACGCATGTGGCGACGTCTGCACAGCTGGTTGGGAGTGGGCTAAGCACTGGATGCAAGTTAGTTTGTCTTAAGTTTATCAAATATTGATCTTCCAGTTGCTATTAGTGCTGAACATTATAGGGAAAAAATTATTTTTTTTGCTTAAGTTGTTTACTATAAGAGATATTTAATAAAGAAACTGTGCTTACAAATTTCTATGCAAACATATTTGTAAAATCGATTTATATGTGTAGATGAGATTGTGGACACAAGCGCGCCAGATGGGTGCTTACTGCGGTCGTTCAATGGTTCTTGGAAATTTAATTTCACTTGATTTTTGTTTTGAAATGTTTACTCACGTAACAACTTTCTTCGGATACAAGGTTTTTTCCCTCTACAGATGACAGCTTACTTCAATTTTCATTATATATGTTTGAGATTCTCGTGGAAATTAAAATTTGTGATTCAGAAAGATTGTGACCAAGATCAGTGCGAAGAGATAGTACTGCAAAAGAGAGATCTGGGAAAATTCTTAAAAACTTGGGATTTATAGGTCCAGAATTGTTAATTTCTCATTTCTCTGAAAACTAGGATTTCTCTAAAAGCCGCTTCCATACTGATCTTTTCTACAAACAGTTTTATTAACTATCAGATACATGTTCACATTTTTGTTTTCAAAGGTAATCTTTCTCGGCCGATTCAATGGTGAAGGAGTAAAAAAGGAATGGCATATTTTATTACGTGTTACAAAAGATGTGGAGTACGTAAAACTTATTGTTGAAAATGGACGTATACAAGGTTATCATTTGACTTATAATAATAATCATTTTCATTTAGTCACCAAGCTTTATTTATTTCAATTTACTATTGCCTCCTTTGAGAGAATATTACTTAAAATGTTATTCCTCTATTTATTTCAGAGAGGCAGGAATTCTTGGTAATAAAAATAAAAATGTGCAATAGTAATTAATCAAAGAGGATAATTTGCCATTGATTTGTAAAACTATTGGATATTATGAGTTCTCATCTGAATAATTAGTTACCAAAAATTATTCCAAAATTAAAATAGAATTTTTATGAGCTAAAATTATATTGAAGGTGCGATACTCATTGGAGAAACGAATTTGGAAGAAACAATTGAGAATCTCATTTTAAATCAAATTGATATCAGCCAAGTGGAAGAGGGTCTTTTGGATCCGAATATTGAAATTGATGACTATTTTGACTAGCTTAAATCCTTGCATTACAATTCATGATACTGTTATAAATTAATGTGTTATATTTTGATTGCCATTACCTCTTTGGCTTCGTAGATCTATAGAGCTTGCATCTTAAATCTAGATATGAAAGACATATTGCCAGTCCATATTTATCAAAGACTATCATTATAGATACGCAAAATGTAAGAAAATTTCACACCTTTATTTCTCTCATTCATCTCATTTAAGTTCTTCATTGTCAAAGGCATTCGAAAAAGATTCCTCAATCTCTCTGCATAGAGAAGGGATTATCAAGAGAAATACATAAAATGTTCGATATGTTATCGATATGGATAAGTTTATATAGATATGCATATATCGGGACTTGTGAGGTGTGAGTGAAAACTATCAGTACATTCATTGTTTATGAAACTCCAGGGTAAATAGTTGAAACTTCATATGAATTCTCGCTTTTCCTATTATAATTGAAGACTTCCAACGCATGATTGATTGAATTGAATATGTTATGCTGGGTCATGATTTGGTTGGTTTGTGTAGATTTACTTTCTAAAGTATGCACTTTTCATGTGAACGGAATTTTTTATCTTTAATAAGGAGGAGAGTAGGCTCGTTATCTGGACCAGATGAGAAAAGTGAGGTTGAATCTCGACTCTTCATTCTTCACGTCCCTCTTTCATGTATTTATTTCTCTACCTTCATCGTTTCTGGTAATTCACCTTCCGTGTTTTTTAGCATTTGTGAATTTGTGATGAAGTAGTGTACTTCTCAGATAACTGTTGGCTGATAGAGATGATTATGCTGCATACTCAGTCTGTCTCTCCAGTCCAATGCTAATTTTTTCCTTGACAAAATATGTTAATTGTTACATTTGTTTAGTTCGTGAATATATATTACCTACAGTAGACAGAAATAAGCTCGTAGTATGTTGGTCATTACGTACACTGAAGAGCCTGACCGCATTCTACCTTTTTATTTTCTCCAATATCTCATTTGCAATCTCCTCGCAGCCACAATATTAAGAAGCCATACTATAACATTAATTTCTGACCTCTTGACGTTTGCGCTTAGCACCGAAGGATGTTATATTACCCCAATTTTGCCAGTTATTTTCATTGATTAATCCAAACGTGAATGATTGTGCACTGCGAGAACTCATTACTGCATATAAATATATGGCTGACTCATGGAACTGCACGATCTATGTTTAACAAGTTACTTCTTGCGATTGTCTAGAAAATTTGACTCTCAGGGTTTTCGCAGATAAGAAATATGGGTTTTATAAATAATGTCCCGTACTGTTTGTGCAAGTTCCAAAAAAACTGTTACATATGAACAGTATCAAAAGTTTCCGCTATCAAAGTAACACCGACTGCTTTCTCATTCTTCCATTTAATATGCTACGGAAAAGCAGTGAGCATATGTTTGTTCTTTTTGTTTTCTGTTCAAAATTCTCGAAATGTTTTTGAAATTATGTTTGCCATGAAAATCACATTTTTAACTTTGCTTTTCTGGCTACATTTAAGCTTATAACTTTATAAAGAACTATATACATGTACTGTAATGCTTTTAGTAATTTATTTACATCGTAACAAAGATGCCAAATGACATTGGGTGATTAAATAGGAGCGAAAGTTCTGAAATTAAGCGATGGAATTTTCGGCTTGGCTCCATTCATTATCAATATCAACGCGTTGGAAAAAAGGAGATTTCCCATAATCCTTTTCATGACGAACTAATCCTTTCGGCGATCCTGTATTGATCATCGGTGCAAAAATCATTTTTGTTATTGGTCCATCCCAAGTGATGCCAATAGTAATCGTTTTCGTTTTCAAAGTTGACCTATACACAAATTTATAGTTGAATCGGTGTGGTACGTTGTAGGCAATCTGCAATAAAAAGTAATCATGTGAGGTTTTTTGAGTGAATTAAATATTTTAATTGTGATGAGGGAGTGATTTAGTTATCAAGGTATATGATTCTACACTTATATCATAATAACAAACATTAGTAAAACTTGTTTTTGCGAAAAAAATAGCATTAATCATAGTTTCTATACAGTGAAGAAGTTGACAAACCATCAATGATTCTCCAGTATTGGTTACTGATATGGTGTGGATAATTTGAAGGTTATCTTCATGTCTTGATCGGTTGAATAATATCATACGATCAAGGAAGTATACCTATGCTGAGTGAACTTGTAAGTTGTCAAGCATCTTGCGATTTAAAAGGTTTGGCTACATTATTTTTAATCTGCTAACTGCTCGATGAAAATGAACTAAGGTAATAATTTTTGTTCAAAAATATTTGTTTACAGTGAAAATGAATGGCTTCTCTGAGATCGATAAGTGTTTTTGCCTAATTATTAATTTATTTACTGCTCAAATTCGGTAGTAGTTTGAAAAAGATGTGACACATTTAGATGTTATGTGACTAATCAGATATAAGCGTACTCCTTTATCATCGAACAGAATAGTGTATGAGCTGTTAGTAGTCTTAACTTCGATTGTTGGATTGGCTGAGTCAAAAAATCCAGAAAAAATTGCTTGTTGACCTGTAATGACATTCCGAATATATAATTCAAGCATTTTAGCGATGAAATAAATATACAAACAAATATTTTAAATAAAATTTGTAGAAAGTAAATCAAAGTTCTAGTTCAAAAGAGTAATTTTACGTTTTTGAAATATTTGCTTAGATGAAAATTGCTTAGATTTTTATATAGTCATTCAAATCCTTTCTTCTCAATTGTTCTTATTCAGAAGCTGATAAGCACAATAACTCATTTTTCAATAAATCAAATTAAAGTTTTTTCCACAGTTAGAAACAGTTCAGCAGTAGTAATTAAGCAAACGTTAAGCATGTAATGATTTATTCAGTTAACAAAGCAAATTACACTACATCTCATACAATGAATTTTTATTATAAATAATGCTTGCAACACTCAACCAAAAAAAATAAATGAACATACCGAGTCCAAAACCTCCTGGTCCAAACGTAGCATGATACGGAATTGGTATACCCATTGTTTCCAGCGATAATTCGTCCAATTCTCCATGCATAGGTTCGTCATCAATTGTTGATATATAGTTTCGATATGCTTCAATAGTATTTTGCAAAACTGGAATGTCGCTGATATGCGGTTTGTAGTTGAACATGTCAGTAGGATTTACTAAACGCTGAAGCAAGACAGAACGATTTAAGTCATCGTTACAATTTGAATTTTAATATATTTTAAATAATGGTACAATAATCGGAATTAAAATAAAGTTGACGTAAAGAATATTCACATTATACTTCGTCTGAAGTTTTCCTTGAATGTAAAAGCGATGTTCAGACTTGCTGTTTGCATCTTTCATATGTCCAATCAAATAGATAATCTCAATATAATAATTTTCATCAGTATACCAATATTCTATGGGTTCTGTGAATAATCCTATGGCTTTGTACTGAAAATAATTAGTATTTCATTGCAGTAACCAGTTGTTTACTGATTATTCAATTGATAAAGGCTATTTTATCAGGAGTCATTCGCAATTACTTTCGATCGTATATTTCAATTGGATCGAAGAAAATAGTTTAAAACATGATAAATTTTGACGTACATTGCTTTGATTATAATTTACAGCAGTTACAACGACTTTTTTCTCGAAAATCCAGTGAAGAATCCTTAAAGACATGAGATAGTTCTTACGATCAAACCAAAAAGGATGTTTCGGTAGAAATTTGCCACCACCATGTGATAGTTCAAGTCTTTCATCTTTTTTCAAGTAACCGATTTGTATTATATCAAAGCTGCAAGAACAAGTTATATAATATCTAACAAGGTCCTAGAAGTTAGTCTTGTTTTCGCAGTTTTGATAGAAGAGCACAGTTTTGATAGAAGAGCACCAAATCAAGAATATAGATAAGAGAGTTGTACAAATTCCGTGATAACTTTTTAGTCAAATTAGATATGAACTGAATTTAAAAAAGTAACATGCAAGTATGAAATGCGTGAAATTTATGTTTTACGACTCTAATCATTTTAAAGAATACACTAAATTGTTATTAAGGATGGATCTTTCGTTAAAACTTTTTAAGTTTTTTATCTATAGTATGCACTTTATCTATTATTTTGATAATAAAGATCTAAGCAATTTAGCCAACACTATTGTCTTATTGATAATAAGGTAGTAGTGTTGGCACAATATTATCAAAATAAATTTTTTTTTTGATATTATCAAAAATTTCATGGAAACTCCGTCAGTATGCTAATACAATATATCTTAAAGTAATGAGGATAAATCAGCACTATCAAAGTACATAACAAGTATGAGAGAAAAAATTCCACAATATCAAGAAATGTATTCATGTTATTAACAGTGATACAGTATCTAACCTTGATTTATTTCACATTGTCTTTTTTTCACTACAATGATGTTGATAACTGCAACAAATATTTCGTTATAATTTATGTTCTCTTATGCAATAACCTACGATCCTACCAAATGTTTTATACTTAAATAATCTGTGCTTTTAAATGTTCATGAAACTCACGACTTGAGTTTAGGCTTTTTAAAATGACGTCCAAGAAATCGAATCTGTTCACCTACATGAATAGTATCTTCCACCGTAATTTTCATGTACCCATCCTTATCGATTTGCGAATAACCTCGCTGTAAAGATAATTTTAAAAATGCATAGGGAGAGAAGAATGCATAGATCGGTGTATGTAATTCTTAAAACACCATTTTGGGTCCATCACAGCCATTATTTGCTTGTATCAGCTTATATTAGCTAGACTAAGCTAAACTGGAGATATCCATGAATGAAATAATAATATACACAAAGTTAACAGCAATGATGATCTTTCTTTCCTGCGATGGAGAAATTAGTAAAGTAACATGTGTCATGTGCATATGTTACGAGAAAACATGCTAGATTCACTCTTAATCACAATTCATCTCGTTCCTAAACGCTACTTCAGTCCATTCCAGTTATTACAGCATTAGCAGTTGCTAAATTTAGAATAAATGTTGCTTGGTTTGGTACAAAAGTACCAATTAATCCCTAATTAGTGAGAGAAAAAAGAACGAGTACCGCTAAATTAGATGCATTTAAGTAAAAATGAGAAGTGATGTAAGATACGGAGATGCACATGCAGTGAAACGAAGAAAGTACTTGATACAAGTTGCTTACCGCATTAACCGCTCGTTTAGCATCACTGGTGATGAGGAAGAAAGCGCTTAAAATTAAGAAGGTAGAAGCACAACAGCAACAACTCATGACAACAAAACAAAATAGTACAAGAGATTGATGTTTACATCGATTTTACGCTTATATTTAATAACACTGATTTAATATGCAAATTCTTCTTTCTTATTTTGCGCAACGCTAAACAGGACAAAGTAGTTAGTAAATTAGATTTCATGGATAATGATGAAATGGATGAGCTGAGATGAAATTATTTTCACTGCTGATCTTTTCATGATATCATATGATATACGTCATGTAACAAAACTTCCTGCAAAAAACTGAGCAAGCATAAAAAGAATTATCTAAGTTATGTAAATTAGCTTGCAAGACCATAAAAGCACAATACTATCAATTGAAAACACCGCAATCTACACGAATTGATGCAACTTTCATAGTCAAAAATAAGGTGGGGATTAGTATAATGTGACATGTGATGTGCCTCGCAAAATTTTGTCATGGACAAATTTGAAATTGTGTATGATTTTTCCAGGCCGCATGAAATTTAGCTTCTGTAAATTTTAAACAGGAAACAATTCAAGTTTGTATAGTTACAAAGTTCAATACCATTCGTTCGCATGGTATAAGGATGGCTTTTTAGAATGCCTTTTATTGGGGGTTCTGTTCATTGCATGTAGTTAAGATATTTTCAGAAAATTGCGAAAGTTGATTGCAATGAATAGCAATTCGAAAGCGGTTTCTGTTGCTGCGTCTATTTGCACCACTTCTGTCTCAGATATGCCTTCTGGACTTGTCAATCATTTGTACGATAATGGTGCTTTTTTTGTGAGTGTTGTTTTAATTTACTTTTAATTTACTTCAATGTTTGTCTGAATGATATATAAAGTCGTGAGTAGTTTATTGTTTGAGTTCTCATCTTATGCAACGTTTTCAAGATAAAAACTGGATCATTCATCGTTAAAGCCGAATTGCAATAAAAATATTTGCTTAGAAACTGCTTTAATTTAATTTTTTTCAGACCTGAACTTAAGGTGAAATTTTTGTTATAATTTAATTACGAAGTTTTCTTAATTTGTATTATTGGTTTCTCATGGTTATATATATTACTGCTACCTATCATAATTTGAAATTTCCTATTATAGTAGGATGAAGTTTTAAATTCTTCATTTATTTAGTCTAATGCTAGTAATTAAGTCTCATGTTTTGCAGATTTTTCTTAATGTACCACAAAATGTGGAATTTGGGATTGATTATAAGTCATGGCGTGTAGGTCCAAAATTTCTTGGATTGAAAATGGTTCCACCTGGTGTACATTTCGTTTTCTTCAGTGTCAAAACTGCTCCACGCATAGGTTTTTTTCATGATTTTAAAGAAAAAGAAGTTTTGGTACGCAAATGGGACTCCTCCCGTGAAGATATGGTAGTTGAATCAGTCCCTTCTAATGAGGTAATATATCTTGATTTTTTAAATTTATGCTTTTCATTGTTGAGAAAATTCGCGTTCATTTACGAAATTAGTATAGTATCATAATCTCATAATTGCTCATATGACATTCTATACCAAGTGAACCTATTCTTCATCTTTGCATTCAAAAAAGTTCGAAGCACATATTAGGTGGAAAGAGTACGCTCAAATTTGAAATCAATGGATAATGGTTTGGCGCCATATCCTTATGAAACTTATCGAAAATGGTTTTCCTTAAGTAATTATATTACAGGTTCACTCTTTACTATATTTCTTTCTATGACTTTTATGTATGAGACAATGTAGTTGATATTAATTTCTAATGCTTTCATTAGTAGAGTTTTGTAAAAAAAATATATGCATGAATATCTTGATTAGAAGTAAAATATTTCAATCCTTTTAAGAATTCAATATTCATAACTTGTTTTTCGTAATGTGCTATTATTTATAGGAAAAACGGTTGCAAGATTGCGTCCAGAAAATCAGTATGGTCGTATTACAGGTCAAGCAGAGTTGGTCACGATGGAGACGGAAATGATGGAAAAGGAGAGTGTAAGTGCTTCATTATTTAATATCAGCGGTAACATGAATATTTTTTATTTTGAGTAGAGATAGTGCGAGTTAACATGCTTTTGAACAGTGAATATGATTCATCAAGTTTCTTTTATCGAAGTGAAAAGTTCATGTGATAACTTTTCATTAAAATTGGCTCAGCTATATAATTTGACTACAGAATTTGATTTTATTACTGTTGTCATTTATTTCACTGCCATGTGTATTGATTTCTAAAAACATACTAGTATTAGTTTGAAGGGTCAAGCTTTATAATCTTTCAAAGTAAGTTAATTTAAAATTTTTTTTAAACCAAGGAGGATAAACAAGTAATCTTTGATTCGTTGCTAGAAGAACATAATGATAGAAGTCTGTTGATATTTTCCTACTTAGATACAAGGATATCCCTCTTCGTGCGTTGATCGTGATCATCCTACCAGAATACGATTTGTAGATGAATGCGGTCTTCCAATCATGAATATTAGACCTGGTTTTCAAATTCGATTTAGTGAAATTTCTTTACAGTCTGAGGTAATTACTTCATTCCTGTCGATATTTAGAGTCGCTTTTTGTCTACACTGTTCAAAGAGTTGGTGAAATTGATGCGCCTTGTTCTTTCATTTTTTTGACATTATATAATTTTTCCAAAACATGTTACGGATTTTTGTTCAACGACAGTTTTTCTATTCTCTCTGCTCCTAAAATTGATGTTATTGCACTTTTTCAAGTGTTTATTTTAATTTCGGGAAAAACTTTACGAAGCATTAGTTTTTGGTGAGGGAAATGGGTACCAGTAATTTTAATGAGCTTTCTTGAATTTTTCATACCGATTGTACTGGCTGACAGCAAATATCTATTAAATTCTTAGTGAACATATTTAACACAAACAATAGCGCAGTAATTGTTGATACCATATTGAGCACACTAAAGAAACATAGTTTCTCTAAAACCGAAATCTTTAGAAACTAGTTATAACTCTTACTTCTCTAAGATAATCCTCATTATCGATTTGTAACTAATTGAAGAAGCAGGAGTCATAATACAAGATTATAGTTTATTACATGAAATGAAAAGTAAAGGGCATAGTTATAGAACGCATAGTTCTTCACAACCATCATGCGTGATGACTTTAGAAGACGTCATTTGCTGCAATAAATTTTCCACTTTGTAAGTAATAAAAAATTACAAAAAATTTTGAATTTGTAAAAGATTTTTCATAATTTAAAAATTGAATTGTAACATTAAACTCAGAAGATTTATTTTTTTAGATTGACTCCATAGATACAAAGAATTTCTCAGATCAAACCTGGAAACTGCGAAGAATCATTAATATTCTTGATGGAGAATGGTGTGAAGTTCTTGGAGAACTGCAATTTGCATTCATATGTTTTTTAATGGGGCAGGTGGGATTTTTTTCACTTTCGAAAGTTCCATTTTTCAAGATACTGGAGAAAATGTGTTCGCACTATCAAAGTTAAAGAAAAATAAATTCCTGGAACTGAAATTTTGTACTTGCTTTCATGTTGTACTCTAGGTATATGAAGGCTTCGAACAGTGGAAGCGTTTAATATGCTTGTTGTGCAGCTGCGTTGAGGAGATTTTTGAGTGTAAGGATTTATATATGGCATTGTTACCAGTTTTGCATTTCGAGTTGAAAGAATGTCCAGAGGATTTTTTCATTGACATCGTTTCGCGAGATAATTTCTTGTCTACGACACTTTCCAGATTGTTTAAAAGCATAAATGGTAAGTCAAAGATGTGCTGGTGAAGTAATTTTGAAGATTGAGGTAGGGTACTTTACACCGTTGATTTATTGTTAAAAGTGAATAAGCAAGATCGGACCGAAATTCGTTAGAGGTTTGACTAGGTTGTCGAAATATTGAAGTTTCTAGAGTAGAATAACTGAATTGAAAGTTGATTAATTTGTGGAATCAGCAGGAAATATCTAAACTAGCAATAATTTATCTTTTGTTTCAGATTATGAATCAGTTGATCCAATACTAAAAAATAAATCAAAAAAGTTCAAACGGTTCCTGACAAAGCGGATGAAATGGGATTTTGATGTACTTGATGATTAGCTGATGTAACAACATTGTGTTGTGTTAGTTGCTGAGTTGTTGATAAAACGTGTTCATCGCTTTAAATATCATAAGAACCATCATTAAGTAAATTATTATTTCCATTTTTGTGAGATACTTAAAATTTCTGCTTTTATGTCAGAAGATTATTTTCATTTATAGCGGTGGCCTGAATATTAAAGTGACATCTATAAAACATTTTGGAAAAATGTTTTTTTTGGTTGCGTAATTATCAGCGCCTCAGTATGGGTACTAACACTCATTATCTTCTTTTTTGACCGGAAATTTATAGCTGCTAAAGGATAAACTCTCTGGGAAAAACAGTTACTGTTCGTGTTTTCAGGTTCTGCAGTATGAACTTGATTACAAATATTTGTTCATTTTACTCGAGCTGATTGTTTTATTTTTCATGAAGTCTTTAATTGGCGTCATTATCGTAAATTTAATCTTCAAGGTATAGAGGATTTAGTTCGTGATGGAATTAATATACTCGCTAGACGATTGCATAAGCGGTTTGCAAATACTGTAGCTGTTGTGTCATTCCTTCTTAGTGTTGGTCTCATTGATCATTCCCTGTACGTAGTGATGTTTGTCAGCCACAACGACCACTTTATTTTGCGGGATGTGGCATTTCATGTGATATGTTTGTATTCTCTTGCTTGTCCTCTAATTAAAAATTACTGGATACATAGAAGATGGCGTAAGCGGTTTGCAAATACGTCTTAATCTGCTCGTAATTACCATTATCGTGTTATCTTTCCTTCAGTCTGTAGATGAAATACATTAACATCCTACTTGTTCTCGTTTGCTCACAATCAGTCGACAAGCGTGCTGTAAATCCTTGCATCTCATTTCCTTTTGTGGGACATTCCCATTAGTAATCTGTGCGTATTTTATAGTGTTTATTCTCTTCTAATTTTCAGGTTAGTTAAGACTGATAAATGGCGTGCTTTGGATATACTTAGTAGGTTCGTTAATTAAAGGCTCATGTGAGCTGTGAGCGTAAGCATTGCTGATTTTTAGCTATTATTAATGGACACTGTACTGAAATACAAATGTGTTGCTGCCCGAGGAAAAATAGTATTAGTATTTAGGAGTTTTTTTTTACGTACTGAGTTATTGGACATATTGATTTGGGAGAGTATATTTCCGAAATATAGTTACTACTGCTAGACTACAATATTTGTTCATTTCTGCTATAATTGGTATGCTTTGAGCGCAGACTGATTTGGCATAGAAAATAGGATTAACTGGGAATCGCGGAAGAATTTTTCAGTCATTTCTAGAGCTTTAATTTCGCATACGACATGAAAGAAAAGGAGAAAAGTGATGAAGAAATGGTTATTACTCTCGGCAGTACTACTGTAGACTGTCCTTATTCGAAAAATTGCGATCATACGTGTCCTGTATCTGATATCTTCACGCATTTAGCTCGTTGTCGCCGTTCTTACTACAAAAGTCTTGGTCTTGAAATGGAGTTAGAAAGGTTAGCTCTGTTGCTGTCACTCAGTTATGCTTTTAGCTGTTATAAAAACATTGGTAATCCAATTATTGCAGGTGCAAATACGATGGTTGCCACTACGTTCCCAAACCAGAGATGATATGGCACGAGTTAACTTGCCATGGCCAGCCACTGTATAACTATTCCAAGAAAACAATGCAGAGCGCACCAGTATCCATTCATTCTCCAATGAATTTCTGTTAACATCTGCGCATACCTCAGTTTGTATCTGGTGATGCGAATTCAGTTATAGTTGACTTATTATCTAATGACTCTAGTAGTTCCAGAATGTTTGTATCTGCAGGCTTTCAAATAAGACAGATTAAAACTTCATTCTTAATGCACAAGAAATCGATTGAAATTGGTACATGTTTATTTCTAAAGTGATCTAACTTTAGATGTTTTGTAATTTGAATATAACAACTCTGATCATGAGAAAAAGCTGTATAGATCAAAATTTCTGATGAGATTTATAAATTTAATCATAGCGAGAGAAGATTGTAAAACGAAAAAAAATTAAAGTGTATGCTGCATATATTCAAGTTTTTTTACTTAAATTCGACTCAGATTTTTATAAATAGTTGAGTGTAGGTTTTACTTATTGTCACTTGAAAAGTGTCGATAATTATTGATGCGGGTTTAAAGAATATACATGCTACTGACATTAGACACTTTTGTCTTGATCGTTTTTCAAAAAGCCCAACTTTTTTCAGTTGCTAAAGACTCGATGAACGCTCTACATGTGATGCGTTAAAAGTACAATAGAGAGTGTTATCGATGTTACAAAGTTATGTGTTTGGGCTGTACAGTTCATATATTTAATCATCAACTTAAGTTGTAGGGAAGGAGAAACTGGGGAATATCTGGCAGTCTTTTTTACACTTTATTATTGGATGTACTCTTAAGATTTACTTGGTTTTTTGCTCCAGAATCTTTTAGTGTTAAGTGTAAAATGAGCGCTATGTGTAGTAGTAGTATGAGATTGCTTTTGAATACTGCATACAAATTAAGCATTGCAAGAGATGATGAAGAGAACAGTGCTGTTAATGATGTAAAAAACTAAAAATTCGCTAAAACCTGCGAGTGTTCTTGTTGGAGAAGTGTGACGAGTAGAAAAGAGCTGAATGCACAATTTGGCATAAATAAATAAGATTGGACGAGGTATTTCGAGTTATTCTCGACTAAATGGGCGAGTTAGTTTACATGCACGATTTGCAGCAATAAACCTTAGGATTTGTGCAATCACTCACCAACGAGTGCGTAGCAAAGAATGCGAGACAGGGAGTGGGGCTGTCTGAATGTCAAATTTAACTTCTTTACGTGATTAATCAGTAATCTTCTGTGTATTCAGAGCAAAGTGAATTGCCACGTGTGGAATTCTTGAAAAGTTGAGGTATATTTGTGTTTAATTCTTAGTTTTTATTACAAAAAGGAATAGAAACACATTGAATATTAGCAAACATACTGCCATGTAAAGATGCAATGGAAGATTTTCATACTGCACAATCCATGTAGTAAGTTGTCGCGACTGATTAGATATTTATCATCAAAGATTGATCGATTCGTTCAGATTTTTTAGTAGGTCAACTTGCTGTCTTTACGTAAAAGCGTACAATCATTGCGGTGTGCCAAATTACAACAAAATTGTTGCAATTTGAGAATACAGTCACTTGAATGCAGTCAAGCCTTATGCAATCTGTTCATACATTAAGCGGGACTGATCGTTGCATTGCGACATATGTCGAATTACTAACTTTTGACAAACGTAACAAATTATGCGTTTTTTAAGCATGTTTTTTAATATTGCTATCAGTTTTCCATAAATATATATTAATTTGAAAGTTATTCTTCGTTATTCACCTCATTCGTCATTGTTTTGGCCTGTTAGTCTTTACTAGCTATAAGATTGAAGTACGTGGTTTTGAATTAAAAGATTCAAGTTATGTCATGCGTATATTATTGATGTCTAATACTTCTTTGTTATCTTGTAAAATGTCTGTTCTTGACAGTCATTTATTTACCGTTTACAATAAATAAATGTAGTAGGAAGGAAGTATAAAGTGTTTGCATGCAATTATTTGTTTTTATTAAACAAAGAATGTCATTGTTGCTATGAAAAGCGATTCTATCGTATACTAGTCATAGTCGTATGCACAGTGTCCTTTTCTTTCCTTTTAACTTCATCCACCTTCAGGTAAATGCCCTCATTGATTATCATACTACACACTTTAATTTGCCAAGTGGTTACCCTACTTATGGTCGATTACGACGCATGCACACACATGCACTTGTATACACACAGGGCACGCACTGAAATGCGCACCTCAGTTTACTTATGGCTGAAAGTGAATTGTTAGTGCTAGTAAATCTTAAATTTCACCGTATTCTTTCCGCGAGTTATATTTCCGAACGAAGGAGTTGCTACAAGTGCAACTTAAAGAACAACCTTGCAGTGTACTTATATTTATAATTATGGAATATGCTATTTAAATTATATGCAGTTGGATAATATTTATGACTGTCATCCTAAGATGCTTATAATTCCTAATAATGAAGGTTTTATACATGTCAGTTAAAGCAAAAATGAAGATTTTCGACGGATACTTGGTGTTTGTAGCATATACTATTGTTTTGTTGAGTATATGGTTATTCTCAAAACTTTCATGTGGCATCTCATATTTTTGTTGCCTTTCACTCGTAAATTTTTTATAGGCTAGTTTCTGAAATACTCTTTTTCATGAAGTTTTTCTACTAATCTTATTTTATATTTGGAGACGAACAAGTGTTAGGTTAATAATCAGGTAACTGAGACTTAAATGCCTTTGTAATTCAAGTAAACCTAGCAATTATTTGATTGTTTTCATTTTCTTTATGTACTAAAACAAAAAGTATATAAATGTGATGGAAAGCATTCCGATAAAGTTTTTGATTTTGCGTTCAGAATTAAACTAACTGAACTGTTTAGTAATGTTCAGAGCTACTTTTAACTAGCATATACTGTTTTGCATTCTAGAATGATTCTTTTCGAAATGAACAAAGCCTATCGTTTCAGATGATTAACTTTGCACAGCATCGCTCAAAGATTAAATTCAGATTTGATTTCGGAAACGCAAAAATTACGCATAATAAATTTTTTTAATATTGTAAATTGATGAGGCATGTTTATAATAAAGTTTATGTCCATTTTAGGAAAGAATTGGCCTCAGCATTTTTTCGTTGTAGCTGCATATTTCGTGAGATTGTGAAACGCCGATGCTGCCACTTTAAGATATTGTGATTTCAAATTTCATTCATTTCTAACTGCTAATATTTTGTTCTGTTGACTTTTAGCGACTGATTTCGCTGTTGATTTATGGAAATGGCAATGATTATGGATATCAATAGTAGTAATCGCCTTCAGGCGAGCAATTTGTAAGTTTTATTTTTGTATTTATGATTAAGTTTTCTTGACATGATAATGTTATTTTAAAAATTCAGTATTATAGTTTTTAATGCATTTATCTGTGCAGTAATTTCTTTAATGTCACTTCATGAGTTAATTTCGTTCATTTAGCGTCATATTTTTCATTTCGTATTTCGTTGTATGTTAGATGTTTTTGGAAAATTGATCAGACGTATTTAATATGTCAACATTTTCATTCATATTTCTGGAAGTGATATTCCTGAAAAAGACAGACTTATGTATTTTCTAGTCTTTCACCAAAAGCAGTGTCATTTCATGGTTGCGAAGCAAGTACTTCAGATAATTTACATGAACTCAGCAGTGGTATTTATGATGCGGACTCAGGGTACATTTTTTTGAAATGCAAACTTATCATCTTGTCAAATTTTGATTAGGAGCAAAGCATTCCCATATTTTTGCTTTACAATTCAGTTATTTCACTTAGTTTTATTCACAATATCTTTATTTCATTCATTTTTCGGTCGAGAATTTTTATTGGCTTGACGTATTTTCCTAATAAATGCTTTCTTACAGGTTCATTGACAGGATTTCGCCAGCACCATTCGTGTCTTCGATTTGCTCCAAAATACTTGGAAATAAAGTAGAAGTATGTTGAACATGAGAATTTTTGTTAAGTGAATACATTTTATGGTTTGATGTAGTGTAAAAAACTTTTTACCATTTGTAGTGACTTGAGCAAAAAATTTTTCAAAGTTTTTTACGATTGTTTCAGAAAGGCAAGTCAAGTTGGGGTTGTAAAATGGCTGTTAGGGGTAATTATCAACATTCCCATTGGAGCTCAGGGCAAACTTCTTGTAGTTTTTTAAAAATGGCTTTAAAACGACTTTACGCTCGAGATGATTTTGAAGTGCTCGAATGCTTAGGCGAAGGGTTCTTCGGTGATGTGTATAAAGTAATATTTTAGTACCGTTTTTGAAAGAAAAGTTGTGGGTGGAAGTTTTTTTTGATCTGTAGTAATCAAAGCATTTTAATGTTATGGAGAAAATTGATCATTGTAGGTACAGCACCGTATAACTAAAGAGGTCATGGTACTTAAAATCGGTAAAGAACGAGGAAATCGAAGGAGAGCTAAAACAAATGTGCTTAAAGAAATTGGCGTTTTAAATCAGTTAACATCGCATCCTAATTTATTGTCTTTCCGGTTTCTACATTTGCTTTTTAATTTTTGTTTCAAGACTGTCCAAGAAAATTTCTGTTCCTAATCAATGAACTGCTTTTCAGTGGTGTTTGTGTTGATTTGACTGAAAAATCGTGGAATTTACATATACTTATGGACTTCTGTGATGCGGGAAGTTTAAATCGCCTTATATGTAACCGTCAAGAACGTTTCGGGTGGCATTTGAGATATAGCTTAGCACGCGATATATCATATGCCATGGATTTCATGCACGCGAAAAAAATTATGCATCGAGATCTCACTAGCATGGTTTGTGAATCATTACTGTACTTCTTTAAGTAGTTCACTGGTTGAACATTTATTTAAAATATTGATTTTATAGCACTTGGTTTCTTCTCGTTTTGTTCACTTTGGGTGCATAATTGGTTAGCAGTGGGTTGTGTTCCCTCTTAATGTTTGTTGTTGTTATGTTTATAGTTGATTAATTGTATGTCTTACAAATGCGACTCAAACCAAGTAGATGAAAATTTTGCTTAGTACTGCTTAAAACAGTTCTAGTGTTTTGACTTTTAGAACGTGCTTCTGCAGACAGTTGATTACGGCTATTTGAAAGCAGTTGTGGCTGATTTCGGTTTATCTTGTAAAGTTCCTAAAAGTGGAGACAAATTACCTCAAGTGGGCACCCCATTTTGGATGGCTCCAGAATGTCTCAAGGAGGAATTTTATGATGAAAAAGTTTATTTTATTGCAAAAATGTTTCTGAAGACATGAATTCTAGCTTCAGAAAAATATACCCTTCAGTTTAGGCAGATGTATTCTCTTTTGGAATTATACTTTGCCAAATGGTAGCTAGGATTGATTCCGATCCGGAAGCAGGACTTTATCGAACTCACAATTTTGGCTTGGATCACATTCGTTTCACAGCATTATGTCCTAGTGATACTCCTTCTGATTTTTTAAATATTGCATTTCAGTGCTGCCTAGTGAGTTTATTGATTTTTTTACTATTTCTCTTGGTCAGAGCTTGTTAAATCATACTCAGTTCTCGAATTATGTACATACATTGTGCATTTTGAATGTTTTGATGAACATGAATTCTTAATTCCAGATGAATCCTGTTTCTCGACCCAGTTTTACATCCCTTTATCACTTTTTTACCAAATTCTTGTTATCAAGTCATTTGGTTGATGATGGATCGCCTTTACAGTCAATCGAAAATGATGGACGTGAGTATTTCTTGGATGTTTTGTAACGATTCACTGTTCTCGTGTTCTTTTTTAATTTGATTACTTTATTAGCGTTTTACTTCAGGTTTAGGTCGGTCTTGGTCAGATGCGTCTTTAGGATATTCCAAGCCTAAGCAGTCAGAGTTGTCATTTATTTTAATCAACAATGGTCGAGATACTGAAACACGAAAGTAATTTTTTTAATATTGTTGTTATTGTGTACTACCAGAACTTCATAATATGCTGATTATGATTTTCCGTTTACAACTATCGTAATCATGTATTTGCTTTACAGTTCTTTGTACACGTAGCTAAATAATTGACTATGTTACATTCTCATTTGTGTTTAAAATGTTTGCAGTCAGTCCAAGTCGATGGATGTTGTTCCATTTCTCGTGTTTAAAGATGTCCCGTGTAAGAGTATACTTCAAATAAGTGAAATTAGAAAACTGAAAAGAGAAAACCAAATGCACAAACTTGCGAGAAGTATCGCCATGAATGAGTTTTCCGAAGAGGTGTCCTTTTCTTTCAAACTCTCATTATTGCTTCCTTTAGATACAGTGTTTATAAACGATGAGAATAATACTTCTGTGAAGTACTTGAACGTTCCCTTGCTAATTACTTAAAATCCAAATTTCATGTGCATATGTTTTTTCTTTTTTCTTCTCATACTGATTCTCCTCGAGATATCTCATTTTATGTAGAACAAAACTTTTTATCCATTTTTTAACATTTCAAATTTAGATATCTTTGGATACTGTAAATCCATTTGTGACTCATGAAATTTATGGAACCGCACGCAAATTAACTTCCGTTGTCGCAACTAGCCAAAAAATATGTGAACTTTCTGATGAGCAAGAATGTAATAACAATAAGTTTGATGAGCCAGATATGAAATACTGTTTCACGAATCATGAAAGGTTTTGCACTGCTTATGTAAACTTTATATTTTTTGGAATAATTGATGTATTTTTCATGTAAAAGTACAAATTAAGAAGCTTTTTTGTAGCGAATTTTCTGAAGTAAGTTGTTTTTGGAAAAAGAAAACCTTGTAATCAAATGACGTCAAAGTAAGCATTCATCTAGTCATGCTTTTCGATTAATTTTTTTCATCTCTAAGATCTAGAAACTAAAATAACTACATGAAAATATAAACAATTTGCAAGTTTAAAATAATTTTATTCACTCGAAAAGATGAGTTCAGGATTGTTGCACAACGCAGCATTTCACTTCCCAGTTCAGCTACAAATCTGATATCAGTCAAGCCTTGTGTGAATTTCCGTGCATCTCTTCCTTCTCTATCAGCTAAAAGCTCACCAACAGTATGTGGGCAGTGCGCTAAAACTGATGAAATCAGTCAACTGTGTGTATTGAAGGGTCAGATGTCAATGGCTTTCAAATATGAAGATCAGGTTGATTTGGTTTTTGATCATTATTATAGATGTCTAATTGCATCTATGACTGCTCATTTATATTTGAAAGAAAATTTTATTTTTCATTTGATATAAACAATATTGTTAGCATAATAGGAAACAGAGCATTTTACTACTCCTAATTCTTTTGTTTATAGAAGTTCACTTCGCGTCAATATTTGTCAACTTTTTTCAACAGAACATTGTTTAGTGGAGTTTCTGCAAACAATCAGCGTCGTAGAGATTTATCTTTATTGATGGACGAAGCTATTTTGAATTGTGATAGTAGTGGCTTTGATTTAGAACGTTGGAAAAATGATAGTAAGTTTTCACAGACTGTTTAACTAATCAACATTTATAGTGAGCTTTCGATTAGTTTAAAATATTCTTTTTGCAGTCAGTTTTGCCAACTTTCTTCAGCAGCAAAATGATGTGGTAACACAGCAGCCATTTCCAGTTTGTCCACTCACCAACGAATCTTCTGTAAGATTTTCACTCTTACTTTTTAGAGATCAAATAATCCAAAACATTGCAAAGTATCGGTGTGGCTACGAAGCACCATAATTAAATGGCAAATTATTAATGGAATGGTGGGTAAGAAAGAATTCTCTTGCATCTTTAAAGAATTCGTGCTGCATAAAAAATTTTCATGATATTATTTTAGATTCGAGACCCTTATAATGAAGTTGGTAATGCATCTTCAAATCAGAAAGCAAATGAGTGCATAAAGTTTCTTCGTGAGGTAATAAATTTTCTATAATAATTCTCATGAATCGACTGTTTAGCAATTATATGAAGAAATGAATTCAAATTTTATATTCAGTCTTCCGCTACTTCAGTGAAACATATTGAAAAAAATGTTTAATGGTATTAAGAAAATGTTACTGTCTTTCTTCACTGTATTTTGCATAGAATTTGTGCAGTCATTAAGGTAGTGTCACGCTTTTTTTCTCGGCAGTAAAAAGATCATACAAAGCACATTCTGTATAGTATTTAGTTTGATTGCTATCAATGCTACTCTGGATAATTATGAAAATATTTCTTTTCAGACAATACAGAATACAGTCGTGCTCGATACAGGTTTTAGAAATGATACTGCCACTTTGAATTCTTTCTGTGTATCTAGCTCAAGGTATGAATCGTGTTGTAAACAAAGGTTAGCGCATATTGGGGATAGGCATGTCACTTCAGTTGATAAGCACTGTAGTGTTTTGTGAATTTATGACTGTAATGAGCAGTGTTTGATATTTATGAATGTGTATCACAGAATATGTTTTGAATTACTATGTGAACAATTTCTATTAAAAAGAGAAAGAAGCATGGATTTGCATCTCAGATAGAGCTGGGAAGTTAAAAGTAGTGGTGTTCATTTGTTAAGATCGCTTAATTCAACACATTGAAAAAATGCAATTTTTTCAGTATCAAAAATCATTGTGTTTGATAAATCCTTATGGCATCATAAATTTAAGTCAGTTTTGTTGCGGTGTAATAATTCTATGAGACGGTGGACATGTTGTGATTGTTTATTTCACTGTATTTGAGTTCGCAATGTATTTGTTTTGTTGACTCTGAAAAGTGCGGAAATAGATTAATAATTATTTATGCTTTTGCTCATCATCCAATTAGCCATCAGTTTGGTAGTTTCGGAAATAGTTGTACTTTGAAGAAGAAAAACTGCCTCTGAGTGAAGTGCAAGAGTTGTAATTAATATTTTGCACGGTCTATTTATTTATAGTCCGAAATCATTTCTTGCCAATCAGAAAGGGTTTTTGAGTTAACTAATTCGCTTGTTTGAAGTCATTACTTAATATCAGTAATGTATAGCTTGTGTTAACTGTGTTTTCTGGTGAAATAGCCGTACTGTGTTCGGGATGTTTCTTTTCACGAAAAGGAGATGTTTCTGCTATTGTTCTTTGATTATGTGAGAGAACTCTAATAAGATACTATTGTTCGTTAAGTCCCTACCATATGTGTTTATTACATTATTGTACAGACTGATTGTCGGTTTGAACAATGAATTCGTGGTCTTTTGCTCCATCGGTATTTTCCGTCGCAGGAAGGAGCAATATTTGGTTCTTAGTGTTTGTAGTACAGAGGGTCATTTAAGTCTAATCATAAAGAGTGACGCACGATTTTTTTGAAAAATTAGAATATCTCAGCAGACTTGAAAAGTTCTTCTGATCAAGCTGTATCAGGAAGCTAAAGCGTTTACATTGCTAACTCATAATGGTTTCTATTTGATATGCTCTGGAGTCTGTGATTTAGTGCTCAAAAATTAATGCGTGGAACGAGCTAATTCAAGGAAACATTGATTACTAATGCTGTCTTAATTTAGAGGGTCGATTAGACTAAATAGTATTAATTGATGGGATGAAATTGCAGTAATGTGGCGTCTGCAATTAAAGGTAATGCCACTTTTCACTTGGCCTGAGTGCAAAGTATTGCAAACTACCCGTCATGATTTATTATATGTTAGTTTTGCATGTAGGTAAGTAGTAGCACGTGGGTGCGTATTGTTAAGCAGTTCTTGCAACATTCAATCACTTCATTTCACTATTTAAGAAGAGATGTGAAAAAGCATATCATACGGTGATATTTTCGCATATATCGACTACGCTGCTTGTAACTTAAGCTACAAATACACTTTCCTGTATTATACAAGTTGCAGTTGCTAGCAGTTATGCTCTCTCTCATGAATCCAAACGTTACAGCCTTTGCCGATGTTTCTGATTCTTCAGTCTCTCAAAACAATTATAACTACGAATGCATTTATTACTTATTCCTCCACATAAGTAATAAATACATAGCATACTTGCCACGGCCTCGATATTCTACAAATCAATCATATTTCCATAAATACCGCCCCAATTACAAAAGGCAATGACACTACCCTTTCATGTAAATCAGAGACTATGATTACTTGGTTCACTGACCAAATAATAGCTCAAATTTACGAATTCGCATATTACCAACATGTAGAAACAATACCGACCATTCACTCTTAGGCGATAAAAATTCATCACCAAATACCAAACGCTATTGTTATTCCAGCACCTTAAAATTTTAGCTTCTCTTTCTACAGTGTTTGTTCTCGGATGATAAATGCTTGACTGTTACTACTAACAAGAAAATATTTAATATGGGACTGTTGCTGAACCGTAGTTTTTATTAAATGAACTGTTTGCTAGTTTACCAGAAGTTTCAGAACGAAAAACAAAAATAATGGAGCTCTCTGCAGAAGCATAAATTGCTTCTCATCCCATCAAAAACCTTTAACATTACAAATAAGGATCTTTGAATCTTTGTTATTCAGGAGGCAACACTACAGATACAAGTATTATTCGAGGAATCTTCAACTTACTTTCTTCAACTGACAAATTACTAATCTTTCCATATTTGATATCCTGGATTAACCTGGAACGAAGATCCATGTAGAAATGAGAAGAATCTAAAGATAGTGTGATTCTTTAATAAAATGGACGAAACTTCCGTTACTGTATAATGGGAATACATACTTTAAGAACAATAGGTAACGAAGAAATATACATAAAGAACAAAGTAGAAAAAACAGAAAATCCTCAAATCAAGATATAGATGAGATTATTATTTTAAGTGAGACTGGTGCGAAACTAATTGCTGTTTAGAAGAAGTATGTTGTGTATTTAACTGAGTAAAAAATAGTCATTAATCTTTTTTCTGGCCCACTCTGCCATTGCACTTGATGAAAATGCCGTTAGCTGTTGTAATTCGTTGAAACTTCCTGGATTTTTCAATATTTAGTTCGCCTGTGGTTTTAATGACAAGGTAATTTCAGAAATCTTCAAAACTTAATTAGTTTTGTACCTCAATTAAAAAACCAGCAGATAATATGTGTGGAAAGCAGACACGATATAACCACGAAAAATTTATACTCATTTGCTTCAAAAACATTCATCACCAATCAAGCAGATAGAGGAGTGGATCATTTGAAAATTGGCCGAACTTTTCACTTCAGTCATATCAACACCCTTAAAAATTTTACATGCAAAACAAATAAAAAGAGTGGTAAGCTCAACTATAATTATTGAAATCAATTATTAAAAAATGAAATTAAAAACCAACGGATTTACTCAAAGAACACGTAGGATTTATCACAGCTGATGAATGCGCACTGGACTTTGGCACAGCTTCTGCAAAAATGATGGTTAACATGAAGTACTGTTCATTATCATGAAGCTAGGCAAGAATAAAGGTGAAAAATATTTTCAGCAATGTTATTCAGTATAAGGAATAAGGGTTTTATCGATGATATGAACACGATTTCAAAGACGAGCTTAAAACTGATCGTAAGTTCACTGTAATAAGAGTTAAGACTAAAGTAAGACTGAATTTTTGCACGAAATTTTCAAAGTCTTTTATTAGATGAGTGCTTCGTTCATTTTGTTCAGACGTTGAGACTTTTCCCACTGCATGGCTAACAATTTTGTTTTTTTAAATGGAGAACTAGTAAAATTAATAATTACGAGATTATTTATGTTGATTTTGTACTGGCAAAATGAACATCTCACATTTTGATTTTTAATTTTCGTTTCACCTCATCTTTTCTACTTGTTGCTGTTTGCCTTGGAATATGAACATGATGTTAGTTTTAAGCAGCCAATTTTACATTATCCCTCATATCTGTAACCTCTGGAACTAATATGGAGAAAAGCATCGTTCTGCACGAGCTGAACTATGCCATTCATAAGCATCTCACTGACGGTCTTCCCTACAGTTCAAATCACCTATGTTTATTGATTTTCTGGAAGAGTCAAACCAGAAATGACTGATGTTTCCGTAACATCGACTGTCTGATTAGAATGTAAGTCGTTCTTCGTAGTCATCGCTATAGATGAAGGTTTCTCCTTCTTTCTGAAATTAATACATGTCACAAAATAATATTGAGTTATCGATAATGAAATGGAATCTTTATACTATCAAATCAACAAAGATAATCTTGCTATTTATTAATAACTATTTATATTTCAGTTAGAATTAATGATGATCTCAAATATTGAAAATTCACCAAAACTCGTAATTCTTAGGTCAAAAACAACCAAATCACAGCTATGTCGTCGGAAGTCCTTATCTTTTATAGATTTTGCAACTGCAACTAAATTTGGCTGTGAAAAATCCAAAATCTTAAATCATTTTCTCGCGGTGAGCAGAAGGCAAAATTAAATTGAATTGAAAATATGTTTAAACTACAATTATAACGACTTACTCATTAATTATTCCATTCTCTGACATCGGTTCAACTTTATCCAACAACTCCCTATAACTCAATAAGAGAAATAGCACAGTAAGATGCTTCAAAAGACACTGTCTTGTTCCAGGAAAATAAAAAATAATAAAGCCTGCTTTACCTCTCCAACTCTGTTTTCTTTCGTAACACTTCATAACAAAACCGATGAAGTTTATCATAATCATTTCTCTGAAATGTGGAACACCAATATTATTGCATAATAAACGGTCAAAGATATTTATTAGCACTATCTCACTAAGATGGACGAAGGACTATTGAAAACATTCAACAAACATTTGCACCAGTCGACCCACGGTTTACATAATTAAGTTTCACCATTGAATTAAATCGTTTTCCTAAATATGAAGCATGCGTCGCCTGAAATTTGAGCACTTGCGAAATTTCTGCCATCGATTCAGCCAGTAAATCTTTTGGAGATTGCAAATATGCCTGAGCCTGGAAAAATCAAATTTCACTGACTCAATGAGGAAAGTGAATAAATGAAAATTTGGACAAATTGGGAATGTAAAGAGAACCGTGATCGGCATATCCCGACTAATCTTGCATATCGAGATTTCCTTCTTGCAATATAGACATTTTCTAGATGTTCCTACAATATACATTAAGACGTCAGATTACTTCTCAATATTCTAAGTCGAGCGCAACTTAATTGCATAATCAGAAGCATGTGAATACAGAGCCTAACTACATTTAAAAATCGTGACTATGTCCTTATCTTTTCTGCATAGAAAATGCTAACCTTCGAAAGATGCAATACCTATTAAACATTTGTTACAAAATATATGCCCACACTTCGTAAGATAAAATGAGATGCAGGATGGAGAAGATGAAGCCGCACGACAACATATATTGCACATAATCCAATCGCGCCCCGGTATATCATCATCGCTTGGCATCTCAGCTGTTCAATACAAAGAATAAGCTTCTCAATACACGAAACAATTCATCTCAGAATACGTACACAGTCACGTACCAAAGTTTGTAGAATTCATCACACAGATATTTATGTGAAACAAATCAGAGCCTATAGAATTCATTTATGCAGCTGCAGACAGTCAATCTAATTTTTGTGAATTTTTGCATAACCTCACAAAAACCACCTTGGTTGCAAAGTACAAAAAAGTTGGGAATGTGATACATGCTAAAAGTGTTCGTAACTCCACAACAGCAGACATTTACTAAAAATAAGAAAAAGAAAATAGGTTTCAAAAAATGTAAAAACATATCCGCATTTAGCAATAAAAAATTACTAAACGCAATCGTCATAGTGAGATATCTACAATTACAAGTCCTTAAAATGCAGGTATTAGGAAAATTTGAAATGGAAATATTAAAGAAAGTAGTACAATATTGACAATATATAAAGGGAAGAAGATACAAGCCCTTTATACATATAGCAAGAAATAAAAAGTTTACTGACATACAAAAAAATATTCGCACAAACTGACGATAACACATATTGCACACAATCCAACCCCGTCCATGTATATCATTATTCTTGATATCTCAGCTGTCTATTAGAAAGAATGCGCTTTTCAGTACACGAAACAACTCATTTCAGAATCCGTACACAGAGTCATGTACAATCTTATCACAACTTCAAAATTTCGAATATAGCAGTTTTTTGTTCGCATAGTACTTTTTTGTCTAATTTCTTCATAACCAGAATAGCAGCTCCCAATGCAGGTGTTTCCAAAGGTGTATGAAGCGTAACTTGTCTAATACGACTACCACTACTTCTGAGACCGCATATGAAACCTAATAACAACATAAAGCATTACTTTATTACAATAATCCAACAAAACATATGCGAGTAAGAACAATCCTTAAATCATTTAGAAAAAACAATCTTACCACTTTTTAATAATTCCCAGCTTTTCCAAACAGAACCAATTAATAAGACTGGAGTATTAATGAACATTTCCTACAAGATTTAACTGATTAGAATGTTTACTTAAAATTGCTTATATTTGGAATTTCTAGCAACTACATTTGATAACGAGTGTAAAGATAAAATTTAACCTCATCAAAATTTTTAGAAATAGCTCTAACGTATGAACCAAGTAATTCACCCGCATCACAAAATACATGCTGAACAAGTGGATCATCACGTGCTTCTGAAGAACGAACCATTTTCAGCAATCAGCAGTTGCGAAACGAACTAACTTCCAAGCTTCTTACATAATTTATGGAAGTATTCACAAGCAACCCATAATAATAAATATAAAATTGCAGAAACCTTTGATTACGTAGGCGGTAAAAGCTGCAAATTTGGATTTATCGAAATCAGTGTACAAAACCTCCAAAATACCCGTCTTATCCGATAAGTCAAAAAATTCCAAGAACAGATGCTTAATATTCGAAATCGGATAAGGAGATGGAAAAAGTCCATCTTCTTCATCAAATATATATTGCACCAGCCTTTAATTTTATTTTTATAATGTTCAGAAGGTTAAAGATTTAAAATTTGATTTAAAAAATTTTTAAAAACGAACTGAAGAAACGAAAACTTATGAAATTCTAATGATGATCTCAAAAGTGAAATGCAGTTCACTTCCATATTCATTTCACTGGAAAATCTTTTAGCATGTTTCAGTAATGATACCTTCTAGCAATCCAAAAAGCGCTACCGCCATCACTGATTTGATGTCCCCAACCGCCAACACCATATACAGTATTATCTGGCTTTAAAAGACGACACGTTGAACCGGTGCCCGAAATGACCACCACACCGCCTAAAAAACTTTGTTTGATTTTTCAAAACGGAATGATACTAGAAGCTTAATAATTTGAAAATGGTATAAAAATTAAACCCTCATATATCTTGACCTATTTTTTAAAACAGTTATCATTCTCAGATTTTCAAAAATGTAGACCTTTGCGGAAAGAAGCTGCAATCGCAACAACAGCATCTGAAGAGACTGAAAATTCAATAGCTATGTCACCATGTTGGTCTTTCAAAAATTCAATAAATTGTTGATTATTTTTTTCATCCTCAGCTCCTGAGAGACCCATTCCCTAAAAGTAATTAGAGATAAGAAAATTATGAGATCATTCCGTACTTAATATTGCTTTAAAAACAAATTAAAATTACTTCAAACACAAACTAAGGAGCTGATAATTATTGCAACAAACAAATTTTCTTCAAAAATCTATGCTTCTTCATTGTTTATAATATTGTGCGTTTGTGCAACCGTTACACGTAATACACAGCCCATCTCACTGCTGTTATGCTGTAAGAACAACAGACATTTCCAAAATTAAAAACTATTGACTATGCTCTGCAGATTACAACAGCAATTACCACAGCTGCAAGCGGACCAACTATTCCAACTTCCTTTTTTGCTAGATGAATCCATTTCGCTATCCTGTCGCCTACAATATCAAATCCGTCCAGACAGTAATTCAAGCCTGAATTAGTCCACTCGCCATATTTTCTACCCGTTTCATCAATAAACAGTAATTTGGAATGTGTTGCACCACTAAAAATTTTTTCAAATAAACAAAGTAAAGCAGCATCTTTTGTTGAAGACATAATAGAGTATAATATGCACAAATTCCAGAACTAAGTGACAAAATTGAAAAATACCCTTCGATCCCTGCAAATATTCGTGATGCTTCCATGAAATCTGCAATTAAAAAAAGCGTTAAAAAAGTTTAAAAATAACTTCTAAATAACACTAAGAAGACGTCGAGTATGCAATACATTTTGGTTTATTGATTAGCTCTCAATTCCTGATTTTCCGATCGATACCGAACATTAAAGAACTATAGGTAGAAAACGTGTTTTCATTACCACTAGTCACCGTTACTCTTTTATAGCTGCACAAAAAACCATCACAAAAGTCATTTAATATTTTCTTGATATAAAGCTACTTTCAAATCCTTCCTTATTGAACAAGATATTTTTTTACGAAAACGTCAAATTCACAGTTCCAATTTCAAAACCAAATATCAATCAAAGACTGTGACAAGGGATTTTACTAAACCATATCCACAGTTACAAGCAGAAAAATAACATTAAAAAAGATCCAGTGTAAACAAATTCTAAGTCGTAAAGGAAATTCGCATTTTATTCAAAACAATCTGAACTGAAATGATCTTATAATTGAATACATTTTTTCCGTTTCATATTTTCGTAAGCAACTAATTAGTGAGTTATGAGGAAACAATAGTCAGCATGAATTATGTTATTCACATTTCCTACATCATACAACTTTTAAAAAGAAGAAACTATAGTTTCGGGGTCATGATGAAACTACATACCAAACGTAATTAATATAACGTGATACAGGTTCTTTAAGTTTGTCTCGGTGCCATTTAATTAGAACAATCTCCGATTTGTAAGAAAAATGAAAAAACAATATCAAACTGCAAAAATGCTACACTATGGATTTTTCAGCTTTCATTATGCTTAATTTTTAAAATTGGCCGATAGAAATACGACTATAAATACAAACTTGATATTTTGCCTTTTGAGACAAATGAATTTCCACTTTTGTTGAAATAATCAGTTTACAATAATTGGAGTAAAGAAGAAATAATCTTTAGCAGTATCATCGATTCAATTTTTTTGTAATTAGAGTGAAATCTTTAGAACTAAACTACAAAAACAATAAATGGTTTGAATGGAGATTAATATGCATTTTTTTTACATGAAAATGAACAACGAAGAACACAGTGAATCTTGACATTTTAATAATAATTTCGACAAAAACTAGAAGGCGTCATGCTTGAACTAAAGTTTTTTCCGATCAATACTGAAGAAAAGAATAAAAGGGAAACGTGAAAAGTGAAAAAGTCATTTTGTCTTGTAAAAAGTTTTACGCACCTTTCTTTATCTCTCTATTACTATATTACACACCTTCTACAAAAATATGTTCAAGATAATAAGTACATTCAAGAGTACAAATATCACTCACTTTCTTTTTATCAAGCTTTAAAATTAAGATTCTTCTGAGCAAGTCCCTACCATGAAATCTTTCAACAAATTTTAAATTTTCGCTTGCATACAAAAAATTTGATTCTACGAGTAGCTAACTCAAGATTTCCATAGTTCTATTTATATCTGACACGACAATAATTAGTATTTTCCCATTTTCCATCTTGCCAATTTATGTGGCATATGTAATATTTGAGTACCATAAAATAAACGATCACGAAAATTTACCAAACTTGGGAAAATGTGAAAGAAATAATGATTCTAATTACACAGTATAATAACAAATGAACCTCAATTACCAGTTTCTCTGCAAATAATTCCAATGTGAATTGAATGAAGACTGGTATCAACTATACGTACGCGTCTACAACATAATTTGTTGACTAGAAGCAAATGTTCGATAGACCAATTGCTGCTGAAAAAGTCATAATTTTTAATTTCAAAATCAGGAAGCCACATTAAACTGAACAGAAATAAGTGAATCACATCACCTTGCACATAACCAGATTGTTTTTTGCAGTTAATAAAAAGGATACGGCTACTATAACCAAAGAAGTCTTTTCGACTTACTACTAATCATAGGTATATCAAGAAATGATGTGTTGAGAAAAGCAACGTCATATTTACCGAACTAAGCACTGTTTCAGTACATAGTTCACTGAACACAGCAATTATCTCTCTTTAATCAATTTTTTGTTCCGTATGAGAAAACATTGTTGGGCATAGAAGAAAGAAGAAAGGACTGACCAAGATAGAGTAATTATTAAATAAATATTATGTGCATGATGACACAACCTATGAACGATATATGAAACAACGAGAGTCAATAAATTTGTGAAAAAAAAAACTCGAAGCACATACAATACATTAGAGCAAATCAATTCCAAATTTTTTTCAATTACTGGGTTTTTTAATGCTTAACAATGCTTACAAATATAAAATCAAAACTAGTTACAAAAGAGTAGCTTGAATAATTCAATCATATAATATCCTCACTTTCAGAGACCTTAAAAAAACTAACTGCTACTGAGTAACGAAACGATCAAAAACTAATGCTAATCAATATCAAGTCATCTGAATAAAAAAACAATACTTTCGTTCTTCATAGGCAAATATACATGCTGCTTTCGGATACATTTCCAGCAAAGTTCTAATAGTACGTAGTAAGGATACAAAGACGGAAAAATCGTAAAAGACATCAGCTGCTAAAATGTAGTCCAGTACTTGTATGTCATTACAGGTCTGATTCAAGTCCAGACTATTCCAATCTAGGTCCTGAAAAAGAGACTGGACTTCCGTCTCCGACCAAAACCTCATTAAAAAAAGCAGAATGAAAAGGAAAATAATGAGAAGTAAACTTAATAGACATAGATAATTTAAAATAGCACTCTCATTTACTTCAAATAAACATTGCAATTGATGGAAATTAACATTAGTGAAAATGAAATAACCAGTAGAAATCTCATAGATTTAAACGAGAGGGCAAACAATAATGACCAAAAAAAAATCAACCAATATTTCCCACAAATTTATTTATTAAACGCTCATAAAATCAGACAAAAATATTTTAGATCACATCATTACCTTCTTCTTACCTTTATCATGAAAGAATTAATATCAAGACCATTTTGCTGACAGTTCTGCTCCAACATTTTAAAAGCCTAAAGCATTGAATATTAATAAGGAATAAATTTCTAACAAATAAAAAAAAGAGAATCAAACGAAAAACACTTTACATATGTTTTAGGCTCTTAAAATTTTCAAGGCTTTTCAAGTTTGTAAACTGAAAAAAACAAAATGATTGAACTGATTTCCTGTACAATGTCATGATGGAATACCATTATTTTTGAACTCATCATATTTTTGAAACAAAATTAAGTTAACAACCTTTATTATTTCATTTACTACAATGACAACGGAAAAAAAATTAAAGCAAAAAGCAATTTTAGTTTGACCTCATCATTCTGAGGATGATCCGTGAAAATAACCAACTTCGCTCCACATTTTGAAGCTACTAATCCTGGTATCCCAGTGCAACCAGCACCTAATTCAAGAACCGTGCACTGTTTGAAGAGATAGTGATGTGCAGAGAGATATTCACCTAAACTACGATTTGTATAAAAGACTTTGATTCCATGAGAAAATATTACGAAAAAGCAAAATCTGGCAAAGAAGTATAAAATCTAACAATCAAATCATATAAAGATAACTAACTTCTTCAAGTGAAATTATTGATTAAATGAAAAGCTGTGCTGACTTGATTTCAGAGATCTATCATTACGCAGAAAAAGAAAACCTACATACAACGGATCACTCATATTTGTAGTCATGAAACAAAAAATCTTCGCTAACTTGCGGACAGGCAATCCCTACGTGCACATGAGTGAAATCATAGTAAAACAAAAGACACCTTAAATATGACTAAATATAATTACATCGAAGAAGCAAATACTAAATTAAATCAGTTTTATCAAATACATAAACAATGTTTTTCAAATAATTATTAACGAGAGTGAACAGCGTGCTAAAAGTTGCATAGAAAAATGATTCCAGATTAGTAAAATGAGAAAATATGAGTTTAGTGATCTGTTGTTTGAGTTACAATGACTTGTGGACTTCAATTATGAGCACTTTCTGGATGACTATCCTCAATCAGATATACACCCGAGCTATTTTTTGGAAGCACAGGGAGATGGGAATTTGATTTTTGACCATTCAATAGCCCCAGACACTTTCAATGATTAGATACTGCTCTTAAAATAAATCTATCTATAAAGACGACCTCACAGTGCCAAATTTGAAAACACACCTAAAACTTTACTGCTCTCCCACACTTTCCGCCAGTATTCTGCCATATAGTTCCAATCAGCAACGCAACATCGTTTTTTCTGTCTGTAACAAATGAATTAAACTTCGAGTCATTATAATACTTCACAGTCTTATGGAACTACATGACAACAAATCTGATCTCACGTGACAAGAAGACGCTAACTGGATCTGGAACAGTTCGCAAAAAAATTACAACTTTACTATCGTACTGGACTTGCACAATACACAAGTTGTGGGCATACTCACAATCTTACAGAAATAACTGATTGTTATTGCAAGTGACAATAAAAATTCCACTCTCCATTACAAAAATGTCATGCATCCAAATAATATTTATTCTAGACAGATTCGTCAGCACCACTTTCATTTGAAAACGATGTCGTTGCATGCAACAATTATGATATGACTAAACTCTCTAATAAATGTAAGTGGAATTTAGATGATGTTCAACATGTGCTTGTATTCAGATTGGGGATTAAAACAGAAGGTTTAATTAATTGAAAATGAATTGGTAGCACTATCTGTGCAGAATATCTTGTCTCATTTTGGCAACTTTCAGTAAATACAGTTCTTTATTTGGACTTATCATCTTTTTTAATTCATTAAGCTTCATTTTTTGTAGACACGAATTCCAATGGAGAATCAAGGAGACAAACTGGAAGAGAAATATGTTTGCATCAATTGTTGCTATGCATCTTCAAGTCTTTTTTTGAAGTATAGTGACAACGGAATCCGACTCACGCATTGTGTAGGTTATCTGTTGGTTATTTGTGGGTAATTGTAGACGTAGGAAAAAATATCGCTGAGTGAAGTTGCTCAGTTTAGCCTTGGTTTATACTTATTTTTTTTGCTACCAAGTACATCAAAAATTTTTCGCAGAGTTATTGCAAAAATTAGAGTTGAAGTGTTCTTATGTTATTTCAGCGTAACTGTGGCCGAGCTGTAGATGCATATGTTGAATATGACAATGTTCTCATAATAATCGATCTCATGCTGCAGTATGTCAAAGCATATCGACATCTTTTAATAAACAGCAATAATCTCGTATCGTTTATCCTTATGTCAGCAAGTGATACTAGTTGAAGAAATTAAAAATTATTATTTCGTTTAAATTTTTTTCGACATTAAATATCAGTGACATGTAGGAAGTACATTTTTATAAGTATTTTTTCAGTATTCTTAGTATTTGTGCATCAAAGGGTTTTTCTCACAGTATATCGAGTAAATTATTCTTTTCTGAATTTTTAAAGCTCTCTCCGGATTATTTTCATTATTAGTATCCATTTCGCTATCATCCTAAATCACAATCTCTCATCTGTTTCCTCATATTCATTACTAAAATTTGATGACGAAAAATACATGGGAAAAAAATTTTTTAAAAATATTAGTGCAAATTAAGTTGCCATCCATAAAGTGAAGACTTAGATTTCTTTCATGCTGAATTACTTATTACATTACACTCGAAAATTTTGATAGTTCTGCATCTTAAGCTAATCATCTTAGTTCCTATTTTTTTTAAATACTAAAGTAAACAATGAGTACAAAATGCTATACGAGTTTCGTTCCAACAACCACTGTAAAACATTGTTTATAGAACAGTCATAAATTGTGTGTTGTTTTCGTACTATGTAATGCGTACAACAGATGGATACAGCGGCGGGTAATATTGGGTAGCGATAATATTTACGACTTGGAATGGAAATTTTATGAATGTTTGCTGCAAAGTTTAATGGAGATGACATCTCTTGTACTTGTGCAGATGACACTATTATCGTCTCGATATCGTTCAAGACTTTCTATTAGCAAAGCTCTACAGGTGTTTTGTGCTGGATTTTATGGTTTGTTATAGTTTTTGCCTCAATATGAAAATAAATACGAGGCTCCCAAGCTAACGAAAATGAACTCCTCGCACAGACTGCTGAATCACGACTTTGAGTACTTAAATTCTTTCGATAAAAATAGGTCAAATAAAGGGTATGGTTATGCAGTTGTTGTAACTTGCGAGAAATAACTGTATTAAAACTGGAGTTTCTACATGCAAATCATATTGATAATGAGTCGTTTGTCTCAGGAAATGTGTTCGCTGTATTATCAGTTATATGGCACTTACACTTGATATGGTCATATAGAATGTTTATTGAATTATTTGTATTTATATCGCATGTTCAGGCACTTCGGGGTATGTTTTTTTTAATTGCAGAAAACGTAGCAGTTCATCAGATCATCTTTTTCATGCTTCTAAACGTTTATAACATTGTATGATGTAACTGTTATCACTGGTTTCCAGCATTGTATGATGTAACTGTTATCGGAAGCATCATTACCGTATTAGTGGCCACAGCTGTATCTCGATTAATCGTATTTTTGGTATTTTCTTACTGGTTTATGTGTAACTAGAAAAAAACGGTGTTTTCTCATAAAAGTGCGATATATGGGCATGGAAATTTTTTGGTAGGAATTTTGCTGATGCTTAACTTTGAAGAGTGCTTGTTCAACGTTGAGATATGCCATTTAAAGTCTTTTTAGAAAGTATGCAGTCCAAATTGTTGAATTGTAGTAAGTTTAAAAAATTCTAGGAATGTTTTGTTTTGAAGAACATTAGTATCCACTGGAATTGATGCTGTTGTTGACTCATCAATAGTAAATTATTTGTTCGGTAAAGTAGTGAGATTGTTGTGAAATCAATAATTTCGAAAAAAACTGTCTCAGTAGATATAATTAGGATTCTTTTTTAATTTGCTTTCTATAGTCCTAGTATTTATAAACTAATAATATCAGTGAAATCTTTATATTTGTTTTGAAAAGTTTTCTGTCTTTTGTTAAATTTTTCTGCCTGAATTGTACGCCAGTTTATCCCTTTTTTAAAAATAAAAACAAGAGTAAAGTTGGATGAAAATCTTGATTGAATCAGTCGTAAGGTGAGCAGCTGTTTGTTATGCACTTTTGATGAAGTCAGTGCATTTCAATTTGTTTTCAAAGTGAAGAACTTCGCTTGTATAATACAGGAGGAACATAAAGTCTATATCTTTTCTAATTGCAGATGAAATTTTCGAGATAAATTTTGGTTTATTTTCTGGTAAATTATGACTTCCAAAAAATAACATTTACGACCCTTTGTTTTTCTGTTGGCGTAACTCTGAAAGCAGTGAGTTCTGGTAATATGACTTATACTATGGTAATAGAGAACTCTGATTTACTCAGACATTACATGTTGGTTGGAACCCTCATTATGCATTTATGGAGATATGATTATTTTATTTATTGCCTTCTGTTGAGTACAGATCATTTGAGTGGATAACATCCGATTTATATCAAGTGGTATGCATGTTCACTACGATTAGGCGTGTTTGAAATCGAACTTAATTGTGAATCGTGTTAATTTGACGCACTAAATTTCTGTTCGGGACTTCATTTTCAGATTAAGTATTTCTAAATATATGATTGGGTCATGATATTCTGCATTTTACAAAGTTGATATATGTATACATATGTCTACTTAGTAAAATGGGTTATTATAAAAGAAACGGAAATTTGAAAAAAATGAATCAGACAAGATTCATCTCTCAAATTTCTTCAATTCTAGTATCTAGTCATGTTAGGTAGCTGCAAAAAATAATATTGGTATGCTCTCCATTTGCTCGTGTGTTTATCATGACTCTGCTGTTCAGACTTAGAAATAGTCCAAATGATTACTCTAGAGACTAAATTCTTGTATTGACATTCTTGGCTCTTATCTTTTTTAATATTTGTAAGTCGGTCAATGTCGGTGAAAATTTTTCCACTGCTGCGAAACTTTCCTGAATATAGTAAATTCACTTCTGTCATATTCTTAAAATTTTAACGAAATTGTAGAGTCCATAATGTCATAAAGAAAATTTCTCATTCAAGCTAGTGGTTAGGTGTATCACCAAGTCATAAGACTAGAGAAAACAGATGAAAATTTTAAATTGTCTTCAGTATTTGTTAACACTTGAATATGACGCGGTAATTCTTGGTTCTGATTGCTTTAAAACGACAGTAAAGGTACAGTTACGTCACATAATGTAATGCAGTTTGATAGCCTGACGGAGAATTAACTTGGAAGATTATTAGACGACTATTGCTGTTGTACTTGTAAAACTCCTCTTGTCTTCATTGTTATAAATTCATCCCTTTCATTTCATCATTTTGCTTTTCATATAGAATCGCTAAGTCTAGTCATTTTATTGATTTCGTTGCATATTCAGTGTTGATATCGAAAGTCCTTCAAAAATTACTGCATTTTGCTTAATGTGCTTTTAAAATTTGATTTAGGGAAGTTGAAATTACAAATACTTTCATTTTCATTGGTTTTATGCAATTTACCCTTATTCCATATCATTTACATTTATTTGTTTTAAATTTCCTTATCAACATCGTTACGTTCGTACAAGTTTCTTAACTTTGGGTATTGACACTACTGATCTTGTTTTTTCGCATTTTGTCACATCAGTATATTTTTAGGTGTACATTTTGACTAAACTGTCGTTAAAGTTTGGAAATTTGTAAGCTCCAAGTTTTGTTTTTATGCAGTAGCAGAAACGAAATGCAATACTTGCGTAGATCAGCTGTTAGCTCTACATCATCTTCAGGAGAAAGAGCTCGCTAGAATTAACTTCTCTAGACTTTAAGCATCAGCGAAAAAAGCTAATTATTCACCAATTCCATCTCTTGTTTTTCTTCTCCCACAGCTGTCAAGTAAAACTAATCACGAATTCAGTCGTATTTCTACAATTCTTATTACCTCATCAGTTTCTGTTGTGCAGGGAGGATGAAATTTATTTTGATTTTCTACCCCGCCCCACCTATCTTCTCCAATATATCAATCTGTGTTAGCGAATATATTGATGATGCTCCTATTGAAATAATTTCTTCGTATGAATGCTAATTTTTTTGATTTACTTTATCAACCTTTTTTATTCAGTAAACCGTATGTTTGCAAATTGAAGAATAAATCATTGAAAGCTGAATTTACTTATCTAGAAGACATTTATCGTTTTTCATTTTACTTTTAATGTTGAAATACTTGTAGAGTTTCATTTGGTAAAACAAAATGTCACCGCCAGTAATACATGGAGAACCAAAAATTATACAAGACGCAGCAGCGAATAGTGTCAACTTAGAAGTCACAGTATCTGGTCAGCAAAACTTCCTTTTTAATTTTGGTATTCAAAAGAATGCTGTTTTTGCCCTTATTAGCAGATTTCTTTTAAAGGTATTAAGCCAGAATTGACTAAATGGTTCTTGGGTGACAAAGAAATTGAAGCCACCGAAACGTATATTTTCTCACATCACGATGAAGGTGGCAAAAGAACTTTGTTAAGATGTGAAATAAAAGTAAGCAAAATGTGATAATTTCACGTAATTTTGAGTATGATAAGCAGTCCATTGCATATTTCAGTAATTCATTTGAAAAATAAAGATACATATTTAGACAATGAAATTACTCACTTTTCTGAAGTTTTAATTTATAATGAAAGCAAATTAAGCAGATTTACTCACATATTGCAGTATTACTCACTTAAATATAATAAAGTTCATTATTTCATGCACTACATCGTAATGTTTAAAAAATTAACAAATAAATATCTAAAGTTAGAACTTGTTTGGTATGAAAATTTTTGTTTTTCATCGCGTCTACAGCTTCTTTCTTTTTTTATAACTTCTTGAAAATTGACAAAGTGCTGTCTAGAGCACTTTTTTTTTTAATTTTGAATTTGGTTGAAAACTGTGTAGTGATCTATGAAGCTTTTCTGTTAATCTGTTTGTGTTCGTGTCTGATGTTGGTACTGAAATGCTTAAATTTGAAGAAAATGAGGAAAATTTATCTTTGTTTCCTGAGAAATTCTTATCTGAGTTAAGTTTTCATTTGATGCTGTTTAAAAGCTATGACTACTGTCATTGTTGATTAGGTTTGCTAAATAAGAATGCTTTATAGAAGCATACTGAGCATGATTTAAATATTGAGGGTAATGATTGTTTCTACCTATTAAAATTAATAGGTAGAAAATCTACTGCAATACCATGATGATATTTAATTTATTTAAAAGAAAAATTAGATTTCATGAGTGGGTTAATTTCAGTTTGTTTGTTTTTTTTCAAGAATTTCGATAAGGAACTTGCGGGTGTTTATAAAGCAAAATTCTATAGCAGTGATGGTGAAAACAGCGCTACATTTACAGTTGCTGCCGGAAGTATGTTTTGTTTGATTGTTACAATCTGAAATATGAATTAACGAAGTTGATACAATGTTCGTTATCGTTCTATCAGCATGTAATTATTTTACTACGTTTTTTTTCAAACAAAAATGTATATAAATAAATGAATGAAATGAATATATATATAATGTTAAAATAAAATGTGGAGGTTAGTTTTCGTCTTCCCTTTATTGGTTCTAGCGCTGGATTGCATTCCGGCACTCTGGCAGTACTTGCCCCGCGCTCAGTTTTGTTGTACCCATCGTTCTTGCTTCATCCTCGTGGAATCAATATCGACTGTCGAAGGAGATGCTTTCGAGTGTTTTCTTGAGAACTATCGATTGAATATATGCTTCGACGGGATCAGATATACTGGTCTTTTTCGCTAAGCGTTTCTGGAACTTTGTTACAATCCCATCCCACATGCGGAATTATTTTGGTTCTGCATTTCATCTCCGACCCAAGCTTATTAGCAAGTGGGTCATATTTTCGTTTTTTCTCGGTCTCGACTGCTGTCCACCTGTCTTGAC